CTTCTTCTCGGATACGCGGAGCAGAAGAGCGCTCATTCTTTACCCCGCTTCAAGCGCGCAAGTTTTCCCATTACAAGGAGAATCAGAATGGAGGAGAGAGGCGAAAATGAGAGGAATCTGAAAGAAAAAATTAGAAACGGTTAAAAATTCCCAGCACCCGCTGCTGAAAACCCCACGCAATGGCTGCAGCGCATGCAGCCAGTTTCGCAACAGTTCCAGCACAGTGCGATAACTGTGCGGGAACAGTTCCAGAACATCCGAATCAGTATGAACCCAGCCTTAGATGAAATTGGATATTGATTTCTAGGTTAGAATTTAGGAACGCCCTTGAATATGATGAGAGACAATCAGTCTTTGAAGGATTAAATTATAGATAATTTTCAACTCTCGTTCTATGCAGAAAAACTCACACTTCTATATTTGTGGCTACCATGCACGATACTACCCATAAATAAATGCAAATAAGTGCGGGGACAATGTCAAACTTTGGGACCACCATAAAGGGATTGCCTAAAATTTTTTCGCATTCAATATTGCCACAACGTGCTCAACATTTGTGGAAGTTAAAATGGACCTTACCTCCCTTATCTTCATCACTGATTATACCGGCGTACTCTTCCTTGAAAAAGAACTGAACAACAAAACAACAAATCACAGATAGTATAACCATGAAGAACGCCGGGACCGTATACATATTGAAAACTAAAGCTCCAATTCTTGCTCCATACTCTCCTATAGGTGTGAAAACAGCCTAAATCAAATAATGCACTTGAATTCACTTTTTTCTAAACTTCAATTCAGGACGTTTCCGCTTTTTGGACCAAGGAGTTCAACGAGATTCGTATTCTTGCAATCAAAAGCTTTTAACGTGATGAACCCCCGGTCATAAGTATCATTATAATGCATTTTTTAAAATGGGTGTAGTGGTATATTCCACTTTAACCTGACCTATATCGAGTACTGGTTTGAGCACGGCTTCTTTGTCCAAATGACAAATATAATAGCAATAAGAAATAATAACAATCGAACAACGATTGACCCAACTGGCCACCTCAGCAAGGTTCTCTAGGTTCTCTATCTCAGTCTGCCTCTCTTTGACGGCTGGTTTAAACACCCAAGAGAGTGTGGCTACTCCCTCCCCTGTCCTCCTGTATTTATACCCTGATAAAAAATCATATCTTTCTTTCTTTTCCTGCCACTGCAGACTAATAGATCGGTGATTCTTGCCATCCGTATTTTCTTCATTTGAAGCAAGAAATTTCAAATTTGACGTAACAAAATCTTGAATTTATTTCCTTCAAAAAGGCCCTCGCCTGTATTGCAGGTCCAAATGAAAGGCCAAGAACGTAGCCAGCTGTGCCAAATGCTACTGCTCTGAGGCGGTCTTTTGGTACAGAAGCTGTAGCTGCATATGCTCTTAGAACGGACAGAGTTCCTGGATTGAAAAAACTCTTTATCATCTTTGCAAACTATCACTGCTTACCTGCACCAAAACCGGTTAACAATCTTGCTCCTAACATCACATACTTTTGATATGAGCTAAGTAGAGGTAACAGCGCGAAAATCCCTTGACCTGAACTAGTCATCAGGCTAACTCATGGGAAACGGGTCTGCGTGGAAATGGCTCGGACGACTCACCGATAAGCATCATAATCATCCCCAAAATCACCGGAGCTTTGATCGACATGGTTTTTTGATTCCAGTAGCCAAATAGCGGATTGGCCTGGAGCAATCTGTGATCTAAGTGGACCATGATATTTAGAGCCAGGTTGTGCCTCATTTTTTCATTAGAATACATAGACATATCGCATAATATTCTCATTTACCTGACTTATGAAACTTATTTTCACCCATTGCACTCAAATAGCGTTGTTTTTGACCCGCTAGCTCTCGGTTCACCTACTTCATCCATATCGCTGTTGATCAAATTAGTTATCATCAACTAGCGAATTGGATAGAGTGGATGAAGTGGATAAAGCTACGTATGGCGTATGCACGCATATATGCATAAAGATATGAGGCTCAGGATGCGCAGGCTGCATAGCCGCGCAATCTGACCCAAACCTTAGTTACCCTATGTAGGGAACGAAATATTGGTATATGATTAAGGAGACGCACGTCTCGCCCTCCATGCCTTCACTAACGTTCAATAAGCCGGTCTTATTAATCAGAAACCGTTATAACACTCCATCACATCGTTGAGCGTAGCCCTCGTAGACGTCTTGATTTGCTTGTTGTTATTCATCATAGTCGGTGGTTGTCTCTTCCTACCACGCAGTTTCAGTATTTTGCTATCCTTTGGAACAACTGCAGGGATCAGGTCAGCTAGCTTTTACTGGTCTCGCTGACATCAAAAAATGGTTCCTTATAAGTTTCAAGGATGCAAGATTCTTGAGAATGTTCTTGCATGTTTATTATTTTCTTAATGAGACTAAGCTACTTGTCTGGTTATCCACCCTTTATTATTGCCCTGGCTGGAGACTGACTGATCTCGCGCATTGTTTGAACTTTCTTTTTGAAGTTCCTTCACCTCTGATGCACCTTGTATGTGTGCTTATAAAACAAAAAGTAAAAAATAATAGTTTTGTGCCGATAGATCTGAGGTGATGAGCTGTCATCTTCACTTAGAACATATACCCAAAATAGAGAAACGGTAAAATTGCGCAAAGTCTAATTCAGATATTTTTAAAGGCGCTCCCCTCTTTGCTTTCCCAACCTGAGATTTTTTGAGAAGTCTAGGATTAGTTTATTGTTATACTCGAAACGAGGTGAGTAAAAGAAAGCTTGTAGCGATGGCGGGGATCTGCAAAAATGTTTTCAGTAACAAGGTATATGAATATGGGTGTCTTTCCCTACGGATTATAAGTTCATACTTTGCTGGTTTAACTGGCAGGCTTTGGAGTGAGGCGTGAGTTTTCTTAATTTGAAAAAAAAA